ACCTCTATTATAAGGGTACATGTGAATCTTTCTTAATGTGGATTATAAATGTCTTAACACAACAACTATGAGAATGACATGAAGGCTATATAGCCAACTGGATGAAAGTATTTCAAATTGTATATGGAAAGAACACACTGTACCCCATGATAGTATTAATGTGCACAAACATGATTTAACAATAAAAATTTAAAAAAAAAAAAAAAGAATGCACCTCTATGCCGGGCGCTGTGGCTCACACCTGTAATGCCAGCACTCTGGAGGCCAAGGTGGGTGGACTGGCTATGCTTACAGGTTTGAGACCAGCCTGAGTAAGAGTAAGACTCCATCTGTAAAAATAGCCAGACATTGTGGTGGACACCTGTAGTCCAAGTTACTTGGGAGGCTGAAACAAGAGAATGCCTTGAGCCCAAGAGTTTGAGGTTGCGGTGAGCTGCGATGCCAGGGCACTATACTGAGGGCAATAAAGTGAGACTCTGTCTCTCAAAAAAAAAAAAAAAAAATAGAATGCACCTCTAATCAAAACAGGATCTCAGACAAATTTCCTAGTGAGGGAACAAACATCTCAGAATAAATCAAAGAAAGTTGTCAGCCAAAAGCAGGAGGGTATGAGGCTCAGGAGGACTTACCTTTTCCATCCAAGGAGAAGCACAGAGCTGCAAGAGTTCATTGGGCCCAGGCTGGCACCTACTAGCACTGGGTTTATGCAATTCCTTGGACAGGTCCTGGGTGTTCTCTGAGCCCCACATTGGGTGCCAGGACTGTCACTGGAAGAAAACAAAACATTGTAAAAGATTTCAAAATACTATTATTCTGAGCCAATATGAATGATCTTGCCCTGGGGAAAACACAAACCCAACAACCCTTGAGTAAGTAGTCCCAAGGTAGTTAGGCTACAATTCTGCTTTATACATTACTTCAGGCAAGCAGAGGTGACAGGCAAAGTCATTAATGAATACATGAATGTTTTACATTGGTTTGGTACAAAAAGGCAGGATATCTGAAGAGTGGGGGCTTAGGCTCGGCGCCTGTGGCTCAAG